GTGTCCATCAGAATCACCGCGATCTGAAAAGTGAATAAATCATCAGGAACTCAAGCGAGAGATGAGTAACTAAAAAATTAAAAGGAAAGCATTGTTTAATTAAATAATATCATTTGTTGAACACGGCAATTCAATTAGGCTTCTTTGCTTTACAAGCAAATGTTCCTCATACGCTTCATTCCGTGAACGCTGATGATGGTTCACTGTCACCAGTCATTCAAAACCAGCATTCTAATATTAAGTTCATATACATTTGTTAAAGTGTATACCGAAAACGCATTCACAACCAAGTCTGGCATAGTCGTCTAAGTAACATTATTGTGCGACGGTACTGCAGTGGCCTCATGCGAGGTCAAGTCAACCTGAACTAAACTCGCTCTGTTGCTTCACTGGCAATCTTGTGCCCCAACCCTAGTTATGGTGGCTGTGCTCTAAAAGCTTCAGTCAGCGATTGAATGTCTCATACGCTGGTTTTCTCATTTTAAAGGGATTCTCGAACTGTTCGTTTCTAAAATAAAATTTAAAATTTATCCATCTAAACTGAAGTTTGAATTTATAACCAAGTGCACTAAAATACCAGCGACAGAAATTTTATTAAGATCTGCCTTAAACAAGATAGTTACCGGCGTTTAGCCGTATACGGTAGCTCGTGGCCATCTGACAACAGTGAAAAGTTACGGCAACATCCGGTGACAGTTCAATTAAAAGATTGCTCAATCTTTATCAAAATCAACGACCGTTGTGATATTTCGTTTCCTTATGCACAAAACCAACAAACAACAACCATTGAAGTTGACTTAAAGTGCAGTGAAACGTTGGATATATTTTCGATTACTTAAAGTCATTCTCAAGTGACAATAACACGGTCTGTTTGATCTCAAACTTCTTTAAATTGTGACATCCACAATAAAAACCGATGCGACCTACGGGCACATCACAACAGAAGCAACACGCTGAATAAAATAATACAACAAGCTGCAATATAACTCCCATAACAGTTATACATGAGGAAACCTCCTCATATGTAACCCTCATGTATACTGAAAACCTCCTCATATATACTGACCTCCTCGCCAGTCTTCCTCCTGACAAGGAAGGGTTTGCTCCACACGAGGATTCCTGTGGTCTCTCTCTTGCTGCCCTGACGCCACTTGAAGCCCCGTAAGGGACTGCTCGGGTCTCCCAGCCAGTCCTCACCGTCCTGAAATATATCAATGTCGAGGATAATCTTTTAATTAATATATGGTAATCTGCTGCACTATTTAATGACAAAGTCAATCATTGCTCGTAGGACTATTACTAAACGACTTTTTGCTTTCCCTCATCAGCTGCACTTCTTGCCATCTAAAACCTACGCTTCATTTCATCGGTCCCATGCTTCATCCCACTAGTCCATTTCTCTCCCTCTTTACCGCTTGATTAGTTTGATAAGTACGCTATAGTTTAGCGTACAGCTAGTAAGTGACGCGAAGTTTACAGGTTGTCGATACTGCGATACATAGCATGGTAGGCGACAGCCAGGCAGGCTGGGCGTAGACAGCATAATATATATTAGTATAAGCGTTGAAGACTAGGCCCAAGCTTGGCGTCGCAGATTCTTTCTATGTTCTTGACTCGTCTCCTGGACGTCGAAGGACTTCGCATAAAACTAGCAGCACAAAACCTCTCCCAGAGGTTGCTAATTGGGAGAGCTACGGCACGCGTTTAGCGCCGGTGGTACAACCAAGGAAAAGCTTGGTAGCACATCCATACAAACTATGTCACCCCCGTCGCGTGGTCCGCGATATTATGTATAATTGATTAATGACTTGCAACAATTCTCAACTTCTTCGTATAATTTAAATTCAATGTTATGATATTAAGTTAAGTTGTTATAATTCACTTAGACCACAACAGCCCCAACCTCGCCTCACCCTCTAAACCCTCAGCTATATCTCGTTAGCCCCTACACTCACCCTCTTAACCCAAACCCCACACCCGCTTCCATTTGCTACAAACCCCCCCCCCTATCTCACCCTGTGAGCGCCCCTCCCCCCCTCTATCTCACCCTGTTGACGCAGTACCGCAGCAGGAAGTCCAGCAGGAAGCTCTTGCCCTTCCTGAAGGCACCGGCGACGGCGAGGACACACACATGCTTGTCCTCGACGCCCGGGGCGAGCAGGACGCTCTTGAGGGCGTCCTCGTCCAGCTCGAACACGCCCGTCTCCTCGTTCTGGATCAGGATGGGGACGGGGTGGCCGGCGGGGGCGGGCGCTGCAGCGTCCAACGTCATCCTGTTACACGGGCATGCCATTAGCCCCTTATAATGGATGATTAGAGCTCGAGGTAATTAGCCTTTATAAATGGATAATTATAGCTCGTTGTAATTATCAGTTATAATTTGATAATTATAGCTCGTTGTAATCATCAGTTATAATTGGATAATTATAGGTCGTTGTAATTATCCGTTATACTTGGAGAATTATAGCTCGTAGTACATATGTCATAATTCGATAATTATAGTTCGTTGTAATTATCTGTTATAATTGGATACGGCGTTATTGTAAGATAGCACAAAGAACGCGGAGTTTGAACATAACAGGTTACTGTCTACAAACAAGGGGTTTTAACTGACATGTAAATACAGACATAGGAATATGATTTGCTGCCTATTATAATATGAAGTGTTGGGTGAATCTTAGGCCCTTTACGGAACACTGGAGCTTCCTAAGCTAAGAGAAAAAATAAGCACAAACTATTAATAATCAGGAAGCTTATCAACCGCGCTAACGATGATCCCTGAAATGTCGGTAGGACTGGATTGATTGAGCGGGTATTCGTGATACTTCCGTTCACGTAAAAATTACATCAAATAATAAATAACATAAGGATGATCAAAATTAATCAGGCTAACAAATAAAAAAAAATCAGGCTGAAGTAGATTATTCATTAAGCAATCGGATGTGTTTATTAAGCAAGTCATTTAACAAGTAGATTCTCAGTATGCGCACAACTAAAGCAATATCTACAAATCGACAATAAAGTAGAACCATAAATAGGTAAATGGAAACGCGGAAAAAGATTGTATTAGAGATAATTGTACCGTTCTCAAGCTAGGAGCAATATGTGAATAATAAAAGGAAACAAAGTTTGTATCGTGTATTCACGCGTCTGAAGGCTAATGCCACTAATAAATCACACAAAGGGAGAATATTTTCCCCGCAACAACATAACAATGAAAGGAAACATTAATATTGTATCGTATACTCACGCATCTGAAGGCTAATGCCACTAATAAATCACACAAAGGGAGAATATTTTCCCCGCAACAACATAACAATGAATGGAAACATTAATATTGTATCGTATACTCACGCATCTGAAGGCTAATGCCACTAATAAATCACACAAAGGGAGAATATTTTTCCCGTAACAACATAACAATAAGAGGAAACATTAATATTGTATCGTATACTCACGTGTCTGAGGGCTGATGCACGTAAGGCAAGCAATATGCAGGATGCGAGGGCTTGACACCGTTAGCTCGTTGCGGAACGTAAATGTGGTCGGACAAACATACAACTATGAGAAGGTGCGGATAGCAAGCTAATAAATTCGGTCACAATAACATCGTGAATGTTTAACTCAAATAACAAAACTGCAAGATTGAAAAAAAAATATTAAATAAAATCGTCATGCATTTGGTGTGATGGTGAGGGAAAACGACAGAACGAGAGTTTAGGAGACATGCTAGTCGCTTTATATTATAGATAAAAAATAAAACACAAAGCCAATGAACGGTTCACAAACAATGATATAATTTACAACTATTTCAGATCATCTCGAAAATAATTTGCATCCAAAATTAAATGCATCTCGAAAATAATTTCACAATTTTTTTGGACAAAAAAGAATACATGTTTTGCATCATAGCGACTATTGATCTTAAATAAAGTCTTGTGATGAAAGTTTATTGAAGCAGGTGCGTTTGATAGGAGAAAGGCGTGATCACATGTACCGGGCTCGGTTAACACGTCACCAGAGTAGGGCAACGACATCCAAACAACCGATCTCAGATCTATTAGATACACAGAGATACAGAGTTTTTTATGATAAATAACTCGTCTTGTATAATTGCAGCGCACAACCATCAGTTAACGCTGTACGTAAAATAATGATCTATAAAATGCTTATCGTGCACAAAAAACGTCGACTATAGGTACAAAATAATTCAGGAGTTCAGTAGAAAGTTGTGAACATAAGCAGCGAGGGTAAGTCACAGCCATGATAAGTGAGGGTAAGTCACAGCACAAAAGAGTAGGTGAGAGTAAGTCACAGCAAAAAGGGTAAGCGAGGGTAAGTCACAGCACAAAAAGGTAAGCGAGAGTAAATCACAGCACGTGAGAACAAGTGAGGCAAATGAGGGTTAGTTCGGGTACGTCACATCACGTAAGTGTAAGTGAAGATAAGTCACAGCAAATGAGGGTAAGTTAGGGTAAGTCACAGCACGTGAGGGTAAGTGAGAATGTCACAGTACGTGAAGGTAAGTCACAGCAAGTCACAGCAGTCAGAAGCAAGGCAGTGCAGAGCATCTGTGTGTGCAGGCAGGCAGCCAAGCGCACCTACAGAGAATTATGAACTGTCCGTCTAAAAAAAGCTGGCAACTTAGCTTGCTTCCGTGCCATTAAATCGCACGTGGAGACGAATGAGGGAAGAACAATTTTCACGAAAGTTGCGTGGAATAAGGGCAACGACTTAATTTATATTTTCACAGAGCAAAGCATTGCAGCAGGTATTGACGATGCTAAATTTAATTTTGATGATCGACGCGGCCGACTCTATGCCTATAACTTTACTGTACTAATATCATCGAATCAATTGTATAATGTATTGAAGTCCTAACAATTTAGGTAGAAATGAAACTGAACCAACCTAAAAATATCGACGCCGGAATAGTCAAGTGAGATCATTTACTCAGAAAAAATTGATAGATAAAATGACCAAATACTGACACACTTTCGTACCCTCACGGCATGAATAGAGAACGTACCACGGCTGAACTAGGTCAAGATGACCACAAAATAGCAAAAAAATTCATCGTTATTTGGACAAATTCTGCCAGGTTTCAGTGAGTGTGTGAGGTCGGCAGCATGACGATGAGTGCGTGCAGTTAATTAAGAAAAAACAGGTGGGCTGACGACACACCTGTGCAGCCTGTGGTGCCTCTAGGTCCATTATACGCTCGAGTGTTTCCCCCCGTAAAAAAAACCCTTCACTCAACTCACGCAACAAAAGAAACGTCGCCCGCCGGGCAGTTCGTGCCGGGTATCAGTCAAACGCAGTCTGCGTCATAAATCAAACGCAATTGTTGAGTATTAGTCAAACGCAGTCTGCGTCATTTATCGAACGCAGTCTGCGTCACAAAGCAACCGCAATTTCAGAGTATTTTTGAGCTTTACTCAAACGGAGGGAGTGGTTCCTAAAATTCTTAACCTTGCTACCTAGTATTACACGTCACACTACGTATGTATATCTTCCTCTAATGTCAAAATTTATACGAGTGGCTAAAAAGAAACATCCATCCACTCCTCCTTAACCGAAAGCAATTGCGTCATACTCTAATTAAAGGAGAGAGCGAAAGTAAATAAAAGCAACAAGATCGCACACATGGCGTGGTTCTATTTTGCTCTCAGTGTTGTACGTACGCGACTCAAGGCTAAGCTGGCTTAATAGACCAGACCTTGGGCAACCAACGTGAAGGTAACGTGTCATTGAGAGTTTAGTAAACCAGGTGAATGTCGCACCTTCTGGGGTCAACTGTACACGGCTAAATAATTTCAAACGTCTATACAATATCAAATTAATTCAGAAATGCATCAATTGCGACCGGTCTCTAGGTTATTGTCATCTGCTGTGGCTTCAAGCGACTACTGTATTCTCAGAAAAATGTTTGACGGCGTCCTTTGAGAAAGACAGATCTCAACCTTTGCACGGTGCCACGCTACCTATGCTTCGAGGGGCGTCACCGTATCGGGGTGTCACGGCATCAATATATCACGGGGGAAACGTTATTAACATATCCCAAGGAGTCAGGGTACTTTACCGTGAACAACGGTACCTACTATTATTCCAGAAATAAAAAAATGCAGAAATTTCTTGCGATAAATTTATAAATGTGCAGAAAAATAATTCGATACATACGCTAAAGTCACATTGCCCTATTACGATACATGCAACGTAATTGGAGGTTTGAAAGAATGATACACCAGAAGGTGGAAGAAAACCTCTGGTCAATAGGAGGGAATTAGGTTTAGGATAGGATATAGGAAGGAATTCGAACTTATCTTTGTACGCGACAAGCGATACACAAAATCGTTACCTAGCAAATCATGTAGGACTTTAAGAGAGGGGACAAGACCTCTCATTATCGTGAGCACTTGGACATAATGTGAATGCCAAAATAAGAAAAATGCAGAAATTTCTTGCTATAAATTCACAAAAGTGCAGAGAATATAATTCGATGTGTACGCTAAAATCACAATGTCGTACTACGATGCCCGGAACGTAAACGGCGGTTTGAGAGAATGAAACACTAGAAGGTAGAAGAAAACCTCTGGTAAATAGGAGGGAATTAGGTTTAGGATAGGATATAGGAAGGAATTGGAACTTGTCTATGTACGCGACAAGCGATACACAAAATCGTTACCTAGGAAATGATGTAGGACTTTAAGAGAGGGGACAAGACCTCTCATTATCGTGAGCACTTGGACATAATGTGATCATCACAACATGCCTCACGAAAACCTTCCATAGGAATCTCGCACACTATCGTCTTTCTACATAAATATCAGAAACGATCCTAACTATTAATAATTTTGTAAATTATTCGCAAACTCTATGCTTGTGCAGGTAAAGGCAACGCGATACAAAAAACAGGGGATGCGGCACATAACAATTCAAGACAAAAACATTATTACAACGAGGACTGACAGTCACAGAGGAGATAACGAACGTAAGAATGCAAACAGCTTAGGAATGGATTCGATGGTATAGGCGCAGTTCACATGCATTTTAGTGTAGAAAAAAGGTCCAAATACAGCAATAAAAATAATTTATGGCCACCATATAAGCATTCTAATTATAAATCAAACTAGAGGCAGCTCAAAAATGTTGTAAAGAGAGTACGATCGCTCAGACGTAAATTGCGTGCGTATCGTTCACGCGTGTCATAGCACAATCAAGTTTAAGCATGCTACAAATATTCAAAATTAACACTTAGTAACAAACAATTGAAGCCACTGTTGCTTTAAAAAGTGGATTTGGACGTGATGCATCAGCCAACAAATCACTAAATCAGTAACAGTAAGACCATTACGACCATGGATTGTGATCAGACAGATCAAGGTGCAGATAAACAAAAAGTGAGAGGATAGTTGGCTTCTGAGCAAACAGAATCTTGAACAAAAACATATTCTTGAGGAAGACGCAGAACTTACGGCAGCAGAGGCGTGCCGGGGGAGAGTCTGGCTGGCATGGTGCTCCATTCTTCAGCAGAAGCTGAGCTCCTGCCGTACGCTGAACCGTTCACCAGAACTTTGCTGCCAGCGCCCAACTTGTTCGTCAACTTCTCAGGTGGCGATTCGTGCTTCAACTTGTTCAACTTCTCAGGAGGTGACTCTTGAGCAAACTTGTTCAACTTCTCAGGAGGCGACTCTTGAGCAAACTTGTTCAACTTCTCACGTGTCGACTCGACGGTTGATTTGTTCAACTTCGCAGGTGGTAACTCATGGTTCAACTTTTTGACGGCCTTCTGAGAAACTTTAGTGCGATGAGGAGCCTTCACCTCTTCGACATCTGAGTTACCATGTGCATTATGAGTGCTCACGCCATTGGGCGAAGACGGGTGATGCGATGTGTGATCGCCGGTGAACTTGAAATTAGCTGGGAGACTTTTCTTCGAGAGTTTTTCGAAAGATCTTTGGTCCTGACCCAGGTTGTTCCTCTGTAAAGCCTTGGCTTCGAAAGGGAATGATTCTTGGCAGGGGAGACCCCAATTATTAATTCCGTCATCCCAGTCACATTGTTCTTCCAAGTCAAAGGAATTCCTTTTGGTCGTAGGCTTGTGTGTCTTCCACGCAACTCCAGGAGCAGCATTCTTTTGATTATAATGATTATATTCCCGTCTACTGCTGCCGAATTTCCGAACGGGCGTACTGTCCGCAGAGGCGCCCGACTCGGATGCAGAGTACCAAGTGTCTTCGACAGCAGACATCTTTTCTGGTAGATGATAATCAAAGCAACGCTATCTAATGGTTCCTTGCACCTATGATAGAGATTCTTTTCTATAACAATATCAGCAACCTATCGAAAGAGAATAATTACAAGCTAGAATACCATACAGGCGCTGTGATTAATCTAGCTTCCACATCACTCGTACAACAAAGCAATTCTCAAGCCATTGATTATATACATAGCACGAGCGTCTTCATTATAGAAGCTCAAGTAATTCATAAAGTCAGCTGTCAAATAATAGGTGCACGTCTCACGGTCAAACTAAGCACGCAGCATACAATAAATAAGCGAGAAAGCAATGACAAGAGTGCAGAGAAAAATGGAAAGGAAAATAATGTCGCAAAAGAAAGGTTGAATCCTAACAGTCCACTTCAATAAAAAAGTAGCACTTATGAATGAGAAAGTAATGCATAATTTAGATGGACGGACGCAAGTATGTTTCTTCAAAGTGATTTGAGGCTAAATATTGCAGGAAATATAATATAAAAATTTGAATTAATTGTATCCTGACGACGGCACAAACATATTAGTCACACAAGTTCTATCAACCATGTCCATCGCAACGGATCACACAAACGATAAGATTCCAAGCATACAATATTTTGAAACGCATCCCGAGTTCGCAGTTCAAAATAAATGTAAACTCATAAGATGAATTAGCTGAATTTAGAAGAAGACCAGCCACCAGAGAGAGCAAAAGCAGACTACTCTGCATGTGTTGCTTCACGCTTCACACTATGAGGCAAGATTCAGGGCACGACCTTGATTCTTCACGATCGCGTTGGCAGAGCTTCAAGTTCAGTACTTTTGAGTCGCAAACTAATCCCATAATACCACGACCTTGCAAACTAATCCTCTTTTTAGCGCATTTTCTCATTTATGGAAAAAATGCCCTATTGTGCTCGCCATGTCCGTCCGTCCGTCCGTCCGTCTGTCTGTCTGTCCGTGACCACGTTTTCGTCGACGAGAAAATGCGTGCTGTCACTCACTGCAGTGAGTACTGAGTTACATTTATTTATTGAACCTCAATCGATAAATCATGAATTAAAGTTATGTTTATTCATGAATAATGAGCAACTAATTATCAAAGCAAAAAATGACATTTTATCATGCAAAATTCAAGCTCTAGAAGATTAGTTTAATAGCAAAAGCAACACATCTCTTGGCAGCTAATACATCTTCTTTTTTTTTGCGTTCAGCTGCTCAACCTTTTGGCCCAATACCTTGACCCTCCGCCTCTACACTTTCATCAAACAAACACTTAAATAAATAATTCAGATATACATGTTTGAGCAGAATATGTATATATGTTTGAGCAGAACATGTACCTATATATGTTTGAGCAGAAATTCTCAGGCCATTTTCATGCGACTTTGACATACTTGGGTAACATTTGAAGACTTTTTCTACAATCCACTTCGAGAAAATATAAAAAATTAAATTTTGTCAAAGCACAATGTTTTGGAGCCACCCGGCAATAAATTACTTTGTAGTCAAGCAAAAGTTTTGCAAGCAGCAGAATTTGTAAATTTCTAGTGCCCTGAAATGGTGATTTGAAGCAATAAAAATACATATAAGCTTAATATGATTTAGATGGACATTATTCTCCAAATATGACGAGGAAAGAATCACCACAAATGCAATTGCCACAGAAAATATCATTGCTTTCAGAGAATCAAACAATTGCTGTAGATTACCCAGGGTGTCCCACAAATATGTCCCACTGAGCAACATTAACCTAGTAATGCAAGAAAAGAAGGGAACTTTCTTCAAAGTCAAACCAAAGATATGAGCTTTGCTTGGATTTGGAATCTTGTGACCTATATACCTATATATGTGACCTATAGCCCTCAAAAAAAAAAAGTTTGAAATTATACTACTTATTTCTGACAAGAATTTTCCGAATACATGCACCCAAATTAGCACTCTCCAAATATTTTTGTTGTCATTTTATACTTTTTTGATTGAGCTCAATGACAATATAAATTCTCATGCACCTAAGGCCAGAGGGTTTTCATAGATTAAAATACTATATTAACAGCTCAAAAAAGTAACACATGGCAGCAAAAATCCAGTTCCAGTTCAAGGTACATATAAATGTAGGTAGATATATTTACTTCGCCTGCCAAATAGACATATATATTCAACTGTCTAGTTTAGTTATTTTAGTAGCCACATATTTACTACTGTAGCTCATCAGCTATTTAGCTATCTCATACCGAAAGTCAAGCTGAACATCACCAAAGAGGTGGAAAGAGGTGGAAGGGCTCAATTATCAAAAGTTTCTAATATCAAAAATTGTTCATCAGTCATCACCCCCAAGGAGGGGAAGGTCTCAGTTGTCCAGCTCGCTGAAGCAGGCTGGAAAGAAGCAGCGTTAGCATCTCAAAGAGACGAAGTGACAAGGAGGGACAGGTGAAAAGTAACAGAAACAAAGACACTCAAACAAGAAGTCGCTTACACGGGACGTTGGCCGTCCGCACAAGAGAGACAGAGAAGGGAAATTTAAGGGATCCTACCTACATAATAGCTTAATCCCACAACTGAGATCTGCAGTCAGACACCACGATCCCAGCAGTGGGGTGCTTAGGAACAATACCCCTAGGAGCACAAAATCCCATAGGACTTCTGACTAGCACAGACACGTGTCAGAAGTTCCCCTTGAGGGGTCAACTGTCTAAAATATTTTAATGCGGGTGATGAAAATAGTACCCCCTTTTATAGCCGTTTTCTAAGAATTTCACGTTTTCTTTCATTTTTTTCAAAAAATTCACACGAACAAAATGCGAGTTTTTTTCCATTTTACATATTTGTACCAAGTTTCAGAGTGATCCGACTGTAAATAGCCGAGATAATTTTTAGGGTAGACGCTCCCCTTAAGGGATCCTACCTACATAATAGCTTAATCCCACAACTGAGATCTGCAGTCAGACACCACGATCCCAGCAGTGGGGTGCTTAGGAACAATACCTCTAGGAGCACGAAATCCCATAGGACTTCTGACTAGCACAGACACGTGTCAGAAGTTCCCCTTGAGGGGTCAACTGTCTAAAATATTTTAATGCGGGTGATGAAAATTCTACTTTCCGCAGCATGACTTTGAATTTTTACCATGTCTGTGGCCACATAGTTTCTGTTATCATCAATGACACATGAGTTGCCACTTGGCAGATAGTACAACTTAATTTACTAATTAATGCTGATCAACAAAAAACTGTTGAATAATGAGAAGAATAATTGGTAAATTTTGATTACTACATAATAATTTCAATGCATGCAAGAAAGTATTGGTTATTTTGTTTGTAAATAGATCAGTTTCTATTGAAGGCCAGTAACATTAGTGTAGTTACAAATCAAGTGACATTGACATTAGCTTATCAGTTGCAAATTGTTAATAAAAATAGCCTTACTGAGCCACAAGGTTCAAAATTGAACCCAAATACATAAATACATACAGAGCCCAGCCAGGATATTTAAGCAAAGAACTGAAAGTCTCCAATCTACAATGAAGGAAAGTGGCGAGTTCAAATGGCAACTCCAGATGTCAGTCACTGTGTGCCACTAAATCTGCAATAATCAAAATCTGAATTCTAACAGCAGGTTCCTAGATATAACATGATAACTGCACTCATTCACATAATATATCCCTACATATAAATAAGCTCCTCCTGAATTCTAGCCAGTTAGTATTTATACTCCTTACACAATATTTGCACTCTGTTTTAGGCCTGTAGCACAGGAAATTACTGTGTCCAAAATTTAAGAAGCACATCAATAATTTTTCACTTTGGTTACTAACTCCTGACTTTAATGCTTTTATATAGGTACGGTATCTAATTTGTGAATTGTGACTAAAGCCTTCCCACTGTTTTTAGATTTATAAGATTCCAGCTAAATTGATTATCAGAAATAAACTAAGAAAATTACAAGATCAAGAAGCAAGATTACAAATTTGTTTCAAATATTTCACCAACAAATATTTCAGGTACTATGTCATTCTGTACACATGGAAAATGATAACCAGAATGGTGCCAAACTTTGAGAGCGAGACCTTCAGGATTGAGACATCACAACGAGAGAAGGGGGAGACTGTGCAAGATCCCCCCATTAAGTAACAGATCCGCAGTCAGATTTCAAACCCTGCGGGAAGGATCACTCTCCGTGGCAGGACCATGGCTGTTCAACGCCCTACCAAGGGATCTAAGAGAGGGGGAGTTCACCCTGGAGACCTTCAAGAGACAGCTAGACGTGTTCCTGAGCACAATTCCAGATCGACCTCCCCTGCAACACTACCAGCGGCGAGAAGCAAGCAACAGCATCGTGCATCAGGTGGCCCAAATGAGGGCGGATGAACGATAATCAGAGGCGGCAATCCATTGTGACGTGGGAGCTGGGACTGCTATGTCCCAAACAAGTACCAAGATTACCAAGATAACGAGTTTCAATGTTTTAGCAATAAGTAGATATTTTCAACCTTATTAATTAAATCTTGCAGCTCCAAAGTGACAGAATTTTATTGAATTTGTAATCTTGTAGCCCAATTGCACATTTTGTTCAACAATTAGATTTGGTAATTTGTCTAGTAGGAATCTCTTCAAACATGGTAAAGGAGCCCTAGTCATTGCACAAGAAGGTAGATGATATATAATCATAAATTTCATGCCTGCCTATAGGTACAGCATTATTATGAATACCAGGATGGTCCATAGTTAGTTTCCTAGTTAGATCCATAGTTTGCTACTATGGTGAATACCTTAGTAGCAAACCAGAGATTTTTAGAATCAATATTCAATTTCCTTCTACTCAATATTTTAATCAATTTCTTCTATATGATTATGCTGGTATCCAAGATACTTACTGGTATACCTACTTATTGGACTCAAAAATGAACATGAGAAAAGGCAAAAAAAAATGTTTTCCTTTGCAACTTATAAATTAATACAATTCTAAATAATCTCTAATTTTCCAAAATGTTCATAATTCAGGGTGGCATTCCAGTGATGATGGTTAACATCTTTTCAGTCCGTAAAGTCAGGCAGAAGCTACTCATGAATAAGACAAAAATGTTCTTGCTAGGGTTCTAATCTTATCAGGAACATTAGGACTAGGTACTACTACTGGTACTAAGTACTGGGTAGAATTTTCTAAAATTTGTGGGTAAAAATTATTTCAAAGGTTATTTTCATTATTTTATAAATCACTGGCAGAATTAAGATATTTTTTCTTAATTAGGTATTAGGCAAGGGCCATTAGAATGGTTGAAATTCTAAACATGCACAGATGCACTGGAGTTTTTATCACATTTGCTGGTGGCAATGTGGCTTGTGGCATCTGCCAATTTTTCCAGTTTGGCTTGTGGTCAATTTAACCTAATTGTGGCCTTTGCCATATTTCTTTAATAAAATATGAGTAAAAAGATTACCAGAACAATTTGCCTGTACTTCTCCTATCTCCTGTTAAATCTCCTATAAAACAATAACTTTGACAAGCAATTTGAATTTTAGACACATACAGCGTGATTATCCTGATATATAATCCAGATTACAATTGGACTGTTGGACATATTCAATAATCAAGATAATTCTTGATTTCATATTCCAGCCCAGTGAGCCCACTGAGCCCAGCAACCAGTTCACTTTCAAATCATAGAAATGATAATTGCTGAAGTTGCCTGAAGATGAGAGTCAGTCAGTCAGAGAGTAAGACAAGTCTCGTTGCATAATGCATATTGATCCAATATGACATCATAGCCTATGCATAACTGTTGATAAACTTGATACCTATCATATAATGATAATCAGATGTATAAATGATATACTATTATTACTATGTAGTATGTACTATGTATTACCCTTTCAGAATTAGACACTATTAAAACTTCAAAACAAATTAGGCCCATTATCAATGTCAAACTGAAATGAATATTCAAAATTGAAATATTGATTAATTTTCTAGAACCTCAAGTTATTGTAAGGATTTAAGCTAGTTATATGTGAAATATACATCGCATACTATGATCCTGAAAGGCTGAAATATGCTAGCTAGTAGCTACTAGTAGCTAGGCAATCGAACTCTTAGTCTTAGCTGCTCTGTCAGGTGACAGGTGTGAACTGTGCATTATTTCAGAAACATTAGAGCAACGACCGTATTCGATCAATAAGTAGAAAAAATAAAATACTACAACCATTACTAAGATAAAAATTTAATCCAGTTTATTCCAAAGGGGCACTGATATTTTCGTCGATAAATATATTTTGCGATCTGGTTCTCCAAACATGCTCAGCTGCCAACGACAAAAACATTGACACCCTTCCCAGTTCCCTCTGTAAGCAACAAATAAAAGCAACCTAACAATTTCTGATGATAATTCTCATCTCATGATGAATTCGTTCTATTTTATTTTGAGTTTGTATCTAATTTTTTTCGAGTTTGAATAAATTTTAAGCCACAATTAAATTACCAAAATCTCTTTACTCAAAATAATGGAAAATAACACCGTCAATGATATAACTTAAATAAATTAAAAAAAAATTTTAATCCTACTCTCTACAATTTTGATAAAACATCAATGTGTTCTGACATCACGGCTTAAATTCGGAAACATATATTACACGTGAATTTAAAATGACTACTTTTGCAGAAATTGCTCTTAGCTAGTAGAACAATCCCACAATTATACAATTTCGAAATGATGTTTGAAGCTTTCCTCCTGTGTCGTCTCTTAATTTCAGCTGCTATGCAATGACACTCCCCCAATGAATTACTCACATCACCACACAAGTTAAATGTGCTCGGTTAAGGAATTATGTCACCATGAAGATCGCACGTCTAAATTAAAAACTCTGTGAGAGCCAATTCATATGCATAACAGTAAATGATTGTTAAAGTCAGAAGACGTTTTTCAGACACCTGCTGAATCGGGACGTCTGAATCGGAGAGTATGGGAAAGCAGATATATGTATAACATCTACTTCAACGTGGCATTAATGACTAAATCAACAAATCACTCCCACATTTCGCTTGTTCGATAAAGGACTTCAGTTTATTTCATAAAAAAAATCTTAGCAATCGCGACCAAACTACCAGTTCCATCGTCTGCCGTGTCAGCTCCACCGTCAGCTATGTCAGTTCTATCTTCTACTCAATTAGCGCGTCGGTCGCGTTAGTTAAAACATCTGTTGCTTTAGTTCCAGCAGGCCTGCTCTGCCCGCATGTCAGCATTTCTGATATGTTACGTCAGCTCCTAGCGTTTCTGTTGCGTCAGCTCTAGCGCTTCTATTGCGTTAGCTCCAGCGTTTCTGTTGCGTCAGCTCCAGCGTTACTGTTGCGTACGCTCCAGCGTTTCTGTTGCGTCAGCTCCAGCGTTTCTGTTGCGTCAGCTCCAGCGTTTCTGTTGCGTCAGCTCCAGCGTTTCTGTTGCGTCAGCTCCAAAGTTTCTATTGCCGCCCTCCATGCCTTGATTAGGTAACGTTATGAAACTTTTCTTACGTTATCAGGCTGCTTGTAATCCATCTTACGATGAATCAAGCAAAACAATATAAACGAGATAAGACGATCGGAACTCCAATAATTCATTATGACTCTGTGTTATTCATTTGTTATTTATTGGCTGTGATCACGTTGATCTCTCGAGGATTAGCGGTAAATCGCATATTAATTATAGTGTCTATCCGTAGATATTGCGCCCTCACAGGAAACGTCTGATGTAATACGTTTATTATAAATATTAATTGAATGATTATGGAGCTTTTGATTAGAGAAAATCAGCCCCCATTACTGTTTGGTGATAAATAACCGTTTCAATGAGCTAAACTTGACACATCAATGTGATGTCGGCGCTGAAGAATAGGCCTGGTGTGGCCGTTATTGCTACATTGCCGCAAAAACGCTCAAATATTTCAGACCCAGTCGATTGTGTTGAAAATGAACTTTCAGTCAAATTCTTGGCTTTTTACCCTGAACAATTCATTTATATAAAAATATTTTATTGTATTCAAGCAACAGACACAAGCCTGCATGCCAGAGCTTTCAAGGCGCAGTATGCATTTCAATATCAGCGCAGATCGCTCAACATTAATCCGCCATAATCAAGTCGGGTATTACTTACTATCGCTCACCAGCGTCCCGATTACCAATGTAAAAACATTACACCAATAAATAATAATCCCTCGTGATCCCCGTAGTTATGAGTTATTTATTTCAATAGGAAGTTCGGAAGACGTGAAGTCGTTCGATTAGTGACGTACGTAAACTTGTATATAAAGAAGCACGATAAACCCAGCCCTGCGTTAATACTGCTTCGAGGCTGTTCAGGGAACGCTGTTCATTTTTGTGTGCAGTATTTAGTAGTATATACAGTCTGAGCTGTAAGTTTTTCTACAGTAGAGACGATCGGGATCATTTTTCGATGTTGCTTGCAAGTGTTTGCAATGTTTTAAATAATTTCAGACTGGCTGTCCTATCGGCGACACTCATCGAAATTTTCAGTAACTTAAAATGTCGTAGCCATAAATAATATTTAAACAAGAAATTAATATTTGCTGTGAACGACACAACTATAATGTTGTTTCGTTGAATGTTGTATGATCAGCACTTAAATGTTTGGTTGCGGTGAGTGCAGTGAACGGTTCAGGTGAATATTTATCGCCTGACTCCAAATGTGATGTATAATTCTGATGAACTCCAGAACTATTAATTCATTGTGAATAGTTCTGGTGAAGACACCCAAGGTAATGAATGACACCGGCGAATGTTAACCGAATGTGACTCCCAACGTGATGAATGACACGGGCGAATGTTAACTGAATGACTCCCAAAGTGATAATGGCACTGGCGAATGTCGTACGACCGGCAACCAATGTGATGTATAATTTGCCTAAGTGAATGTTGTGTATTCATAAAAAGCGCGTTTTTGATCTGCAGAGCGAATAAGTGAAAATCATGATTCATTGTTTGGTGTTTAATGACATTAATTTAGTAACGCCATTTTTTTCTGCGTCACAGAACTGCACAAAAGCTGACGACGGGGACAAAGAAATAAAACAAGTCAAGGAAGAAGGCAAACACTGATAAAAAATTGGTAAAGAAAGTAAGATAAAGCATGGCACGCAAGAAGGGGAAAAAGGAGAAAAAGAACGACAAGAAAAAGAAGATATCGATGAAACAGAAATTGGAAGCCATTAAAAAAGAATCTGATAAAAAAGCGACGCTTAGAGAAAAGAGGAAAATAGCGAAAGGAGAAGCATACTACAATGTGCATGAGAGAGCTGCACGAAATACGGCAAAAAATTTGATGGAAGTAGAAGAAAATAAGGACAAGAAAGAGAGAAAGAAGGAGAGAACTAAGAAGAAGAGAGATGAGGCTAATGAGGACATGGAGGTGGACGAGAAAAAGGGAGAAGAGACTGAGAAACAGACTGTAGAAGTACTGAAGAAGAGGGAGAAAACGCTGAAAAATAACACGGAAAAAGAGAACGAAGAAGAGGCTCAGGAGAAAAAAGATGAGACCGAGCAGAATGTGGAAGACAAAAGGAAAGAAACTATCGAGAAAAATATAAATAAAAAACAGAAAAAGACGACAGAAAATAACGAAAAGAAAGAAGACCACGTGGATGAAGCGAAAGAAGAAATGAATTCAACAGAGAAGAATTACACGAAAAAGCTTGCAAAGAATGCGAACAAGATGAAGAAGAAGGGAAAGAAGACCGAGAAGAATGTGGATAGCGCAGAAAATAGTTGGGAGAAAACGGATCAAAATGAGAAGGACAAAGACTCTGAAGCGACGGAGAATATGGAGAAGAAAAATGAAAAGCCGAATACTGTAATTAACGAAGTCGATGAGAACAGCGAGGAGAAGGAAGGAAAGATAGAGAACGAGAAAGAAGAGAACAATAAGTTGAAGGAGGATGAGACTGTTAAATTAGAAGACAGAAAGGATGAGGACGGAAACGCAGTGACAAAGAAGCAGGAGGCGAATGAGAATCATGAAGAGAAAACAAAAAGAATGAATTTAGACACAAGGAAAACAGATCAAATGAAGGTAGAAAAGGAGAGTAAGAATGAGAAAAATGAAGTAAGTAAAAATAAGGAATGGAGGAATGAAGTAAAGGAGGAGGAAAATATAACAGAAGATATTGCCAAGATATTTAACAGCGACAGCGAGGAAGAGATTGAAATAAATGAAGAGAAAAAGGAAGAGCAACAGCATGAAAAAGATCCCGGAAGTGATAGAGTGCAAGAAGTTGAGGAGAAGGGAGAGAATGAGAAAGAAGAAGTGAAAGAAAATGAATCAAATGAGAAGGAAGAAGAGAAGGAGAATGAGATGACCGAAGAAGAGGAAGAGGCCCTCGAGGAGATTGAGAAAAGTGAGGAGAAGGAGACGAGCGATGATCGTGAGTCGACCGAGAAGAGTGAGAAGGAAGGTTACGGAGAAGACAGCCGGATTGTTGGTGAAGAGAGAATTGAAGATAATGAGCACGAAGAAGAGATTGAGAAAGGAAGAACTGAGAAAAACGACCACGAAAAGTTAAGGAAGAAAAACAAGAAGAAGGAGCTTGAAATAATAATCCGAATTAGTGTTACGGATTTGAACGATCAAATGAAACCTGAGGAACAAAGAGAAACAGAAAACCAGGAAGATCAGAAAGATCAGAAAGACCAGGATGACAAGGAAGACCAGGAAGAAAAAAACGAAGAAGAAGAATTGGGGAGAATCTTGACGAAAATTATAAAGCGATACAGCGAGAAAAAAGGATGAGATGTCGCCGGAGGAGGATGTCGAGGAGATGGAGGAGATGAAAGAAGAGCAAGGGAAGAAGGGAAGAAGAAAGTGAATGGAGGAGCGGGTGGCGATTTATTCACCTCGATCAGGGCAAAGCTTAGTTGCCGTTGTCGTCCTTGGTTGTCAATAATCAAAGTTGACCAACTTTTTATAATTATTACCATGCATCCTCGCTTGTCTTTAATCATGATTCATAATGTCTTTATTATAGTTGCTCAGTTTATTATAGTTTTTGATGATCTAAATACAATGAGATGATTTTCAAAACATGGAGACTGATTGAGTTTGAGAATAATGTTTTGCTTGCAACCGTATTTACACAGATTTATATAATTTTAGAGTTAAGGTGCCGATTTTATCAAACCATTGGGAAATTTCGATGAAATTGAACTTTTAAATTTATTAAAGCGAGGAAAAGGATGTTTGCTATTAAGATATGGCGAATTTAACAGGGGTTGTTTTGAATCCTTGCTTAGTGAGATGGACATAACAACGCAGCAAGAATCTGAAAGGATATTGTTATTAAGATAAATATTTATTAAGATAAATAAATATGTAGCATAAGAAATAAATTATTATTAAGGTAAATAAATGATTATGAAATGCAATGTTTGAGTTTATCCAGTTTCTAGAATTTATCCGGTGCTCTGTCAGACCCAACAACTAGAGTGCAATATTGCGCCCAATAATTAATATATTTGAAAAGAAAATGTCAAACCGTACGTGCTATTGACGCTCATCTGTTTGGATCTAAATTTTTTAAATTAAAGTTTGTTACATCGTTGCCTTAACCTCCTCCCCCCGCCACATACACTTATATTTTGCTGCCACACATAACATGCCACATGCAATTGAAGTGAATATGAATTCACACTGCGCATTCATTATTCATTTATGGCAAGTCTGTAGCACCTTATCTAATATAATAAGTGAGTGACTTATCATTAGATAATGCGATTTGTCGAGGAACGCTGATAAAAAAATATGTTGCAAAGAAGTCTTTCTTCCTCACTAATTTATAACGGTTGGCTTCAGATAGAAGCAGGCTGCAATGCCAATGACCGAGGCTTGCGAACATTATAGGTACAAACAGGTAGAAATTACATGAATAAATGTTTTAAAGTTGTTAAATTCTTCTTTTAAATAGGAGCTGTTGTTACCCAAATTATTGTTTTATCCAGAAGCAAACCATTCACTCATAAAAAACTAAATTTCAACCCTTGATCAGGCTTAGAATTTTCACTACAGGACAGTTAAGAAGTAAACATTGCAATGCTATCCTTTTCATGAAGATATTGAATAGTTTTGTGCTAATGGTTTTAAAATTCATCAAAATTCCTGCTCATCGAGAAAAATTTGCACCATTACATGGGAAAATACCTTAGCTATTCTTAACCATCTACCGCCTGACACGAGTAACCGGAGCAATATTGTCACGCGCCTACTTCCCAAAAAGGATACGTTCTAGTGAGCACAAAATGACTTGCACTGATGGTTGCCGCCACGTACGGCCATTTTAAAATGTTCTCTGTTGCGTACAAACGTCCTCAGGTTGCTACACTCTATAGTTTACGTATAATTTAAGTTGAAAGTTATGTTCCCGGAGATTGACATGCGGCGGTATAGAAGGTTAACAGCCCCTTTGCTCAATCACGTACCTGGCTGCTTTGTTCCAATTCCTGCAGTTGCCGAAACCTAACAAAAAAATGATGACATCTGGCCTATGGCGGCAAAAATATGTAATATCGTCCTTTCTCTGGAGATGAAGAACAGAACTGAATAATGATTGGCGCTGACCTCACGAGTTCGTTCCTCGAGCGTAGCCACGTGTTGTTGTCAATATAAGCGCACGATAAGCAAGAGTCTCTGAAGCGTTCATAACGAACAAGACACCCCGTATTTTGAGGTAGGTTGGTCCAGAAAACATGGCGATAATTAACAAGCGCTCTGTTCGACATTCCACGCGTTAAATGCTTCGGGTTTAGTTCGGCAAGGCATGAGTGCCGCCGACGTTGACTGGATTATATAAATTTAATAATAGGGTAATAATCAATGAAATAATAACTCAGATCATTCAAATCACCACCGATGACCACTCACCCGAATAATAATAAATACAGGGTTGCATGTTTACATATTTATTGCCGAATAATTCAGTGATTAATAATACAGAAGATTTTATAATTTTCGAATTCCCCATAATTATTTATTCTGTATAGTCCATGTTGAAGTCCCGCAAATGCCAATCTTAAAGATAACATCAATGGCAGTATCATCAGTTCAGTGCAGAGTTATCAAACGCATGCCCATCCCAATCTTGAAGATGACGTCAATGATAGCTTACATCAACTGATTTTATCGTGCCTACATCAATACATTGAACTCATGCCTTGGCTATTATTAGAGATGACATCAAACGTGGGGACTGTCATCCGGTGTAGGCCGTTTCTCACGGTAACTTGTATAAAGAAGCAAGTGGTTGAAGGTGGTTTCTACAGTGCGGCGTTCACTTTGTTTGCATTGCTATCAGTCTTCCCTGACAAAACTCTAGGGACTGAGTGACATTTTATAACAGAGTGTCTCAACGTAATCTCCATAGAAGAGGCAAAAATTTAACTTTTAGTTTAAATCACTCGGTCGAAGTTATCCAAATATGAAATACTTCCTCAGCGTATTAATTTTTTCACTATATGGTGAGTCCTGGGTGATCGAGTGATCCACACAAGAAACAATACTGGATTGTTGGTTTGTCTATTTTAAATATTATCCAGTGTTATTTCAACTATGATATGAGTTCTCAATTTAATAGACGACTAAAAGTTGTTGTGTTGTTGGTTAGAAAATCATATTAACATCATTGCACGTCAACCGGAATGGAGGGTCGTTTTCTTCATAGTTTTTTTTTTTTTTGAGTGTGGAATGCTTCAGAGCATCTCGTTTTGTAGCTGCAGATGATAAGTATTATTCCATTTTACTGATCTCTGCGCCGATCATTTGATGACGCACTTCAGCCATCAGTCGGGGAACATGAATCGGCCATCTGTGCATGCAGCGGCAGAATTTTCTACGTAAAATCTCCCCCAACTTTCAAGTCAATTTATAAATGCGCACTTCATCGATTTATAGAAATACGAGCATATACAAGGCTAACACATTTTTTGTTACATTAACTTAGATTAAATTGAATAAATCCCCTTAGATCACTATATGAATAAATCCGAAATGAACCAGTCTCCTTTATCACGCTTATCACACATTTCTGTTATGTGCTACATGCGTCCCATATCCTTGATTTTTACACTTTTAATTACTCTGAACAACCAAGTGCAACCCAAAAAATTAATTTACTTAAACTTTCGACGAGTAATTAAGTTACTTAACTTAATATAACTATGGTCCGCCAGCGCTGACAGCGTCAGCTGACGAACAGGTTGGCACCCACGTGGACCAGATCCAGACCCGCGACGTGACGCAAGTGCTGTTCCTGAACAACCCTTACGACGCGGGCGACTGGGGCCCTATCGGCATCTGCCCGGAGTTCAGCTTCGTGCACGCCTTTGAGATCCTCGTGAGTATTACTATATCCGTACATTAGTAATTTTTATTGAATCACTAACACCATTTGATTCACTGGTAGAACACGAATGTAATGTATAAAAGTATATTACAAGCGCAAACCTAGTAGGCTTATTGTTTTTCAGTAAAATATTCTTAATACTGTCTGTCGAGATTGATAGAAGCGGGATGTAATTTTTCAAGTTTAAGTGGATTTAATAAGCCTAGAGGACTCTATAAGTAGGTAAAATTGCCGCAGCGTGACTGCTCGAGAATTGAAATGAAGTTTTGAATTGTCTTCTATTAAAAATACAAATAGAAACAACTCATTTGCTAAACACTATGGGATGATTTGGAAAGGTTTGAGCGACACGTCAAGCATCGAATAACCTATTAAAAATTAGGATTCCTATATATATTAGTCTGGAAATTTTTGGCGGTCAATGTAACTTAGTTTAAAAAAATTTCGCTAAGGTTGAAATATATTCATGAACAAATACATAAAAGCGGTCTATTTTGAGGCTCACCAATTTTATATTTTATTGTTCACAAACTTTCTTGTTTGATAACCTACGAGCGATTATATACGCGGCCTGAAATATCCAAGATGCGATTGAAATCCGGTGTGATTTGTCCACATTTTTGTCCGAGTTGGAAAAAAAAACCTGACTGTGTCTATTGAAAACGAATGGCTTTGCGGGCGTCCATCTCAATAAAATCAAGAAATATATCAATTGTTGAAGTATTAATGCTCTGAAACGAATCTTGTTCATTTTTTCATCTTCTTCATTACATTTATAGTCTAAAATTCATTTTTGAAAATTAATGTTTAACTTGATGTCTGGGTAATAATTACAATGATGGTGCCATAAGGTGACGACTCACTTTTCAGTTCTACCCGCCCGGAGCCGTGGACGAGACCGCCATCAACGCGGTGAAGCTCTACTGCAGCACGGAGCAACAAGTGGTCTCTGCAACCGGTCCTGAAGGGGACTGGTACGGTGAGGATACGTCGTCTCTGCAACCGGTCCTGAAGGGGACTGGTACGGTGAGGATACGGGGTCTCTGCAACCGATCCTGAAGAGGACTGGTACGGTGAGGATACGTGGTCTCTGCAACCGGTGCTGAAGGAGACTGGTACGAGGTATAATTTTTACAGTGCAAGCATGTTTTCTCATCATGAACAATCAAGTCTCGCTTTTTTAAACTGATTGTCCTGAATTACAAAACAGTCATCCAATCGCATGATGTCAACGTGTCGGAGGTAATTTTTAGTACAGACACGTCCCTTTATCATGCATAGCAAAATTTCGCTTGATATTCTTAATGTTTTAAGCGATTATCCTCGTTTTAACCGAATGTCCTGAAGTTTTAACCGAATACCCTTAATGTCGTACCAGGCATGAGGGTCTGCCCGAAAACTTTCATCACGGGTTTCCGGGCGCAGGTTCTGGAGTATCAGGGACCGTTTACAGACGACGTCGCCGTGCAGGATTTTGAAGCTGAGTGCAACTTTGGCGAAGATATTCTACCGGGAATTGCGGCTGCGAATGAAAAGGTTAGAACAGCAGGTGCAGTGTTGGTTTCGGTTTAACCTAGCATCTGTGAGCCTCTTCATTGTTCAACTGATTGAAATATTTTCCTGTATCATGTCCTGAATTTAGTCTCACAAATTTTTAGTGTCAAATTCCCGAGTAGATTACAGGCATGAAAAAATGTCTTTATGGGTCAACACGCTCTGAGAGACAATGTACTGGTGAATAAGTTCCAAATTGTAGGATGTAATCGTACCTTCAAGCGCTTTCATAGTCAAATTCTTTTTGTTGTTGTTGTTGAAGAAAGAAGAGCCCGAGCATTTCACATCACATCGCATTCCGAAAATTTTACTTAATCAAGTCGACAGAACTACATCTCAGCATCTTACTTACATTGCATGTTTTTTTATTATAAATTTAATTCTCTTAACAATCGACTGCAGGGCAAGTTCAACGTTGGCGAGTGGAGCGTCTGGGCTCGTTGTGAAGCAGGCAGCGCAGTCTGTGGTCTCCAGGTCAGTTGATGTAGGGCAAGTTTAACCTAGGGGTAAGCGGCGTATCTTACTAAAGAAATAAACATGTCATTTTGTTACAATAGTGATTCACTTTCTGCATGAAGCAGTGATAAGTCCCTTATCCGGGTAATAGTGAATCACTGTGACCGTTCACAAGGCCAAAAGTGTACCGTCATTTGGACACATTCTCACTGATTTCTCAAGTGTACGAACCAAAGACTAATATAACGACCTAATAAGATAAAGGATCAAAGGTAGCAAAATGGGATAAAATAACAAAATGAAATAGAGTAATATAATAGGAAGAAATAAAAAATGGGGAAAGTAACAAAATGCGATAAAATGACGATATTGTTTACAGACACGCGTGGAAGCTCCCCAGGTGGCCGACGATGACACGGCCGTGACGGACGTGAACCTTTTCTGCTGCCCCCGCAGCGCCAGCAATGCTACTAAACACAACGCTTAATGCGACATATTTTAATCGTCACAGTTTGCTTCGTCTGTTTCTGATTAATAAATTTTATTTCAGGTGTGACTGGCGTTGAAATTGCCTCTAAATGTTGTTTTTGTTCCCATCATTCACTCTGATATCATGTTAGGCCCGATATCTTCTGCTAATCACCAGTGAAGTAAATTAATTTTCGACAGCTATTTCTTTATGAAAACATTCATAGATGATGATAGATCTAGTTCTAGTCAAATGTTACGGTAATGCTTAGCACATGCCGTTACCCATCGAACGAATTAAATTTATGGTTAATGATTTTTTTATTAAATATAAGAATTTTCCTGACAGACAAATAACGTGGATCAATAATTGTGATTTTATTGGTTATCTGAAACTATTCAATGTAGAAATAAATTTGGGTATGAATTATACCTGCAATTCACGGTTCACAGTATCCAATCAGACGATTTACTTCTCATGCCGGAAGTTTTCTCAAGACATGCATAAAAAATACCAGCAAACTTCATGATAAAAGGGAACACTGCAATTAAAAGGGACCAATATTCTAGTGATGAATCTCACTTCATTTGGGATCGAAGTGAAATCATAAAATAGTCGTAAGCTTATGCAAGGTAGTCAAATCAAGTAGGGCCTGCAGCCAAATCTTGCTATACATTATGAATTTAAAGGCACTGAAAATGTCAATTAAATTCGTCATCGTTTCATTGTAAACATATTGGAGACCAGCTTCATGGTCAGTTTAAAACTTCAAGAGGAACAGCAAATCGAAAACTTTCTACAAAAAAAAATTTTCATGTACAGTTGAATGTCGATTCATTTTCAGCCGGATTATTTGTTTGGGTTCAAGAACAGACTAAATAAAGCTATGGAGAAATATATGTTCAGACTGAAAATGCCTAGCACCATATCGAACCCGATGGAAGTCTAGTAAATATAACAAACTATATATCAACAGGTTGGAAAAGATCCGTAGAAGGACCTGTTTTTAGATCTCCTATAGACAAGTCACGAAAAGTACAAGAATCGGCGAAAGGCCACAGCAGACCTATTCTTCAGCGCCGACTTCACTATGCTATGCTATGCTATACTTATACTACATTCATTTTTAATTAGCATTGGTAGAAATTGAAGACAACTAATGTTGTCATATTCGAATTCTATATGACTCTACACACATGTTACTGTACTGAAAACCACTTATTTGTAGTCAGTGGATAACAACCATAACAATCAGGGGATGATTCTGATAATGTTTTGTTCCTAAATATTACTGCTTTACTTTGCCATGTAGCAAAAGCCGTTCTAACACTGAAATGGAGTGGACACTTTGCCTTAATTTGTTTAACACTGAAATAGAGTGGGCACTGGGCACTCCCTTTATCACTGAATGAAGTATGTAGATACTTTTCTTATGATAATGACATGGTTTATGCGCAATGATCTGTTCGACGTTGCCCACGACCGCTTTAAAAACTTCGTTGAAACATCCACGATTTAGGCTGAGCATTAATCAAAAGCAATTCAAATAACTATCCTTATTTCTATCACTTTCTCAGCTCTTATTTAGCGTTGGACAGAATTACGTGTTTATTCAGTCTTTGATTTCATGTGCTTGAACATTTCTCTACGGCAGGTAGAGACTAATTCAAAATTTCGCCAAGAAAATATTTTTTCGTCCAGAAAAGTCAGCAGGACATATCAACCTAATTATTTAATTCGAATTGTACATACATGTTATTTACTTTCCCTGCATCATCTTAGTTTATTTAGAATTCTGACAGAATTTACATACTTTGAAGGGACCTCTAGCTCTATTGAGTAATTCCCGCAAGCCAAGTTACAACGAGTGAATTAGTTATCAACTACAACTAAACTAAAAAAGCTTGAAACCTGGGAGAAAAAGGATAAAAAACGAACAATAGATGAGCCTCGGCTTAAATTATAATTTCTTGACAGAAAATACGTTAGTGGTAAAAAGAAAATATAGCAAATTCATCACAGCCTGAAATCACACGTAGCGCAGTGAGCGACATGCGTCAACAAGACAAGAGCGACAAGATTAACACTTGCAAATAATTGAAATATTTCCTATTCAGATTTCAGAATGATACAAAGCGCGCGAAATGACAGTATTTGAACAGAAAATGACAAGCAGGAGTGTAATATTGCACGAAAAATTTGTTTGTGGCATATTCGATGGTGCTGATTCTTCTGTAAGTTAGGTTTATTTCATACTCGTGTGCAATCTTTATTACATCGACCATTGAGGTTTGGTGAATGCTTTGCGGTGAGACGGTCGAGTTTATGAAAATTTATGGGACGAATAAATAAATTGAAATTAACTAAAAATCACCATTGCTGATGATGATAAGCATTCAAAATATTGTTGTATCTTATTAATTTATTGAATTGACTTAGGAACCATATAGGATGCCGCCAACAAGCCCTACCTCCGACATCACAGCAAATTCTATGCTCTCGGTAGGATTTTTATGCTGGTTTATTCAGGTTTTCGGTTATTAATTATAGCGAAAAATTCAAGCTTCATATTTTCGTTACTGAGAGAACAATGATTTTCAGAGCTGCTGGATTCGAATGTACTTTCTCTTTTTCTCTCTGAACATTGAGGAAATGATTCCCTTTAATTATATTGGATGCAAAATGTCGGCACCATTGCTCTTCCGCATAAATAGTCCAAAAAACTGGTTGATTTGAATCGTGGAAAGCGCACGCCCAGTCAAATGATTCCGGAATCGGGTAACCCGAAACCCAAATGCTCGTAGTCAAAGGCTCCAGTCAACACTTTTCGAATAAGTCGGATACTGCAAGCCGACCCAGATCAGTGAACATACAAATCAATAAGAGGTTGCTATGTCTCAACAGGAAGTATCAAAGTAAGCGTGAAAAAGCGAGTGAGAACGCTAATTGAGATTTGTGGTTATCTAATCTATGTCGTTATCATTAAGGAACATATTTTTCAGTGAATTATGACACATGATGGGATTATTGGTAGGTATTAAGTGGTGTTACACGTTAATTAGTTAACACGTTAATTTGTTTAAAAGAGCACGGCACAGAATATTTGACGCAGGATTTTACACCGCATCACAAGTAAATGGTTTCTTACATACTTTTAGCTACTAGTGCGCTAAAAATACAAAACAAACGTATGGAAGTTGCAACCAAATATCATTAAAAGACAAGTTTGCCTATAGATAAAACCATAGCATTTTAATTTTATAACATTTGCATATCAACATTCAAAACAATTGTTGGTAGGTGACTTGAGATAAGCTTGATTAATAATTTCAAGATGGACAAATCATGTGCATTAATATTCATCAGTCTTAATGCACATGAGTCTTAATATTCATCAGATGCGTGCTCGAATCTGAGGTGCATTCAGCATGGGACTCCGGGGCAAATACTAAATGTCTATTGTTCGGCGCCTGTATTGGCAAATCAAATCCAGCAGTATATTTCCTGAGAACATTCATTCACAAATTTGCTATCATGTTTCTACTGTAAATATTTTTGCATTTCAGAAAGTGAACTCCGCAAACATATTCGTAAAAACCTATTCAACCGCTTTAATTGCTCTGAATTCAAATATACATGTTCCATAAAACAAGAACTCGTTATTTACTCTCTAGATATTCACTGCAGAAACGCCTTTCTTGCTCTCAGCATAAATTTGCCTACTTTGCTAAAGAACGACAAACTAAACTTTGCATGTTTGTTCTAAACCTTCTGAGGAAACGCTTGACAGATCGGAGTGGAAGTACGTTGTGGCACTAAACAACAATTAAAGGGTCATAATATTTCCATGTATCCATCCAAGTGGATGTTTTACTGTATTAATTGTACCCAACTAAACTTGCGTTATGAAAGAACATCTAACTAGATTTTATCACGCTAGATTTTATCACGGCATTCTTCTGAAAAACTTCTCCGGTGTTCTGAGGGTGAAAACTCTTGTACCAGAAAAGAACTTCTTGATCGTCAGGTTATTTATTAGCGTTCACCAGGAAACTATTCAACTGTTCAGAGTGTGAGTGAGCGTGTGCTACCAAGTGTCGTCTTAATAAGACATTCTCCATAAACATTTATCAAACAAGCCTCTTCAGTGCACGTTGTGTGTGTATGAGTGAAGAAAGGACACCTAGCTCAACATATTCTTTCTCGCCATTCTTCAAAAAAACTTCACCGCTGCTCGCAATTTCAGTACGCATGCGTCAGAAAAAGTCACTGCTTCATACTATTTCAAACGTCCATCAGAGACAACTTTCAGTGTACGATGTGAACCGTATACGATGTGAACACCTTTTCACACCGTACGATGTGAAAAAAATGCTTGTGCAACGAAGCAACATCTATTTCGCCATGGTATTATTGATCATTTAGGAGTGAAACCTAATCACTGATCTAAGGTCAAATATTCAAGTCTGACTAAAGAATTGCTGAATCAACTTTGTATTCACAAACGGTGACTAGGAAAAACTCTAACATAGATCTTGGTGTAAATAAGTATATTTGCTTCGACAAATTCAGTTTAGTCGGCATATTCTTGATAAACTTATTCAAGCCATAGAGTTCCATTAGCGCTGTGGATACCAGCCCATTTTAGCTAGTTACATAATTCTATTTGCCACAAAAGGCACTTTACTCCCTTCACTCATGCATTTAACATGGAGATGTAGGTTTAAATTGAAAACCATACTTTATTAACACTCCATTACTACGAAAGTCTATAAATTGCTTTAAGTTAGTGAGTTACTGCTGACATTTCAGCTGATGTTTGCAAAGCATACTAAAGCCCGGTCCACACGCTCAGTTTTACACAACGATTTGTCTGCGCAGTTCTAATCGTTGCAGACAAAACGTTGCGTGTGGACGGGAAAACTGCGCAGTTTTGGAGCCGGCGGGAAAACTGCGCAGTTCCATCGAAATCTGAGCTACCGAGCATAGATTTCGATGACCTGCGCAGATAAGTCGGAACGTGTGGACGGTAGCACAGTTTTCCGATTCGATTTGTGCTCAGTTTCAATGATTCTGGCGACAATGGCGGACCTTCGGTAATGTTCTCGGGAATTTATTGCTTTTCTATACGAAAGTTTTTCTTGCATTTGGCAAGTAAAATTCAATGACTATAGTAACAGGGACAAAAAAGGTGGAGACATACGAGGGCTTAGCAGAAAAATTCAAAGAAATCGATGAAAGCGCAAACATAGAAACAGCTGTAAAATAAGTTGATCATTTACCGTAAATAATTGGGAATGAATAAAAAAATCGATTCCATCTGGACCTGGCAAAGAAGACATCTACAAGCCATCTCTCTTGTATTTTGATTCATCGCAATCCCTAAATGATCCAATCTCTTTTTTGACAAGGCACAATGCCAAAATTTATGAAAATACTGCCTTCTCCATGGCACGTTTCGGATAAATTTACGGCCGGACTCGCGGCCGGTCTCCCCAAATTCGAATTTGCGAGTTATACGGCTTTATCTAATCTAAAAAATTGTCACGAGCTAAACATCGCCGTTGGGAGGTTAGGTTGCTATATTCAACGTTTCGTTCAAATCTGTACAGTAGTTAAGAAGAAATGTCATGCTCACTGCAAATTTCAGCACGTATCGTCATATAACTCAGGAATGAAGGTGAAATTCTAAAAATGTTCACGAGCTAAACATCACCGTTAAGTCCTAATGAATACGTGTATCAAGTTTTATCGAGCTACGTTCATTACTTTGGGAGATATTCCATGCTCACCGAATTTGGGGAGACCGGCCGTAAAATTTGTCCGAGACGTCTCCAAGGCGAGATCGCGCAAAACTGAGCAAACTACTCAGATAAGTCGGTACCGTGTGGACGCTCTAAAAATTGCAACGATTTCATTCCGACTTAAAACTGCGCAGACAAATCGTTCTGAAAACTGAGCGTGTGGACCGGGCTTAAGACACCAGCGCAGCCCAAGTCCCCGCCATGCATTTCTAATTTTTTCCACGGGCAATCTCTAAGTGGGACACTATAAACATAAGTACTTAAAACGGGGCGCATGCCGGAGGCCAGCTTTGCCAAACTTCACATTAATCAAGCTCATATTTCTTTCCGTAGGTAAGAACGCTAGAGGGCATTACAGCCTATGAAGTCAAGTGCTCAAAGTCATAGCGCCCGATGTCCACAGATACAAAATAAGCTAGCTAAAGGTAAGCATGGCCATACTTCATCTGGCCAAACCTCTTCCGGCCTAACCTCTTCATGCCTAACCTACACAAGTTGCAACACTTCTCCACCCAAAACAAACCTGAGCGGACCTAACCTAACCTCATTGGCTGCAGGAAGTTAGAAAGGCAGTCCAAGTGTGCTGGTAGAGCCAGTCATTGGCTGCAAGAAGGTAGTAAGCCGGGACAGAGTGAATAGGTTAGGCCAGATTTAGATTAGGAATTTTAGTAGACCAGACGAATATCCCTATGAATGTGTCACATCCACATTTCGTTTTTTCTCTTTCAAATGGTAAAATTCATCAAGTCTTTTGATAAACTATCACCATATGGTCGGACGGAGATTATCTGGCACATCTAGGATAAGTAACATTTTCTTCGTTTCATTCACTCAGCTATCGTTGTAAGTCAGTTAACTTCAATCGTCGATGTTGTGAGACGTTCCAGCATTCAAGAAAGAGGTTTCCGATCTACAGATTGGTTATTTCACGTTCGACCACTCACATACTTGCACATCGTTTGGACATGAGCCGATGAGCGACATAGTTCTAACTTTGTGTTTAGGAAGGAAACGGTTTCATTTGACATAATTCGAGCTTTTCAGTGTTCGAGAAGCCGTATTACATCGCCAACCGCTTCTAGCACCAATGAAAAAAATAGTTGTACCAAATCCTTTATTGCAAAGTTTGGTCGCATTACAGTTACAAAAGGTTCTAGTCAACACTCTAGAAACGCGTATAAATCTATACACAGTCTAATCGAATGCAAGATACTAAGCCGGTAGCACAACTGACAACGTCACGACCATGCCTGGCGGATGACCTCTAACATTGCTTCCGTACTCTTCTTAAAATATCAGCGAACTAACTCATCAATAATTCCTCATTATTTATATCGTCAGGCACTCATCCTATCTCTAAATTAATGACGACACTGATAGTAAAAGAAGAGAAAAAATAAACTCCATTACAAATTAAGCTGAAAGGCAAGTCGAAGCTTCATATACCTCACGTCTAGTCAATGCTGCTAGCTTGCAGTAACAAATATAGACGAATCATACGTTAGCAGAATACTTCTTCAACACGATAGAACTTTAACACTTTTGGTTTAATTCGTAAAACATTTATTAATGCTTAAATTTTTATGCGAGCCTATGAATTCTATAGTGGAAGCTGCAGCAAAAGATAAAACCGAATGTGGTACGGAAAGCAACAGTCTGTGCCACGGGGAGCAGCAGCAGTAGTCTGCTTCCTGACAGACTTGCTCTTCAGATTTCGTTTTAGTCGCCGAAAGCTCGTGTACCAAATTTACTATGAAACGACAACATGTAAAGCTACTACCGTACGTTTTACACGCACATAACAGACTAGGTGCCTAAAGATAGTATGCCAACAGCAACAAAACTAAGATAAGTTGTTCAAGTTACAAAAACAGAGCATACGAAACTCCAGCGTTCAATCAATGTAACAAAATAGAAGGATAGCATACACAATATATTTTCGAAAAAGTCTTGTAGCTCTTGTTTTTACCTACAAGCAAAATCTAAAAATAAAAGCGTTACCAGGAACTGTCATCCCTTATCAAAGACACGCGGAAAAATGCCTACTTGGTACGTAGGACGAATCACAGATACATCATCGCTAACATCACCGCTATCAACATCACTACCATCATAGTGAGCATAGTCGCTAACATCATCTTTATCGAGGGTGGGGAATAACACACTTCACGCCCCTAGGTAGGAATATAAAACACATAATACACGATGTACCTAAATGCGCTCAATACAAAAATATTTTGCAAAAATACCATTTATTTCTCTCCATGTGAGAAATGCATTCCTTGTTTCCACTTCCAACTTCCCATTCGAGGGATAGATCGTTAAAAGAGATCAGTTCGAAGAATTGCTTTCATTATAAAATTTGAATATACCCACGATGCACAATCGGCACCATTCTTCGGATATTGAAGTTTTTAATGCAAATAGATAAACAGACTTCACGTTAGAAGTACTAAAAAGCCCGCAGCTCGTTCATAGTTAACAACACGCTCATTCACCTTAATGTCATTTGTGTTCATTGCTCGAATCTGTGAAGTTAAATTTTCCACACACGTTACTTCTCAAACTTCAGAGCCTTCATGCAGTTTCCATGCATAATATCGCTAGCATGTGGGAGCAGCAGTCTGTTCTTTGATTTTATACACACTTTTTACGTATGAACCTCCATACTATGCGAGTCCTTACTTCTGGACACCATAAGTATTTGTGTATCTTTACACTTCCGAGCCGTCAAGGCCGTTGTCTTCGTACTGGATAGAAGACTGTCTGACCACGAGGCTTGCGTCACTCGACGTGGACGCCACAGACAGGCGTTTGGATGGCTTAGGGGGCGGTTTGGGAGGAACCTTCTTCTTGGGCGGTCCGTAGTTGTCACCGCTCATAAGAGTGGGGGAGATGGGGGACCTTGATTCCGAGAAGCCTGAAGACATGGAGCCCGCTGATGAGTACCCGTTCGTGCCCGTAGGAAGGTTCTTGGAGGAAATGGAGGGGGAGAAAGTATCCAGTGGGTGTTTCATATCATCAACGGGCGCCTTATCTGCTGAAGATAAGATCTGTGTAGGAGTGGGGACAGGCGAGGGTGACATGGAGGAGTTCAGTGTCCGGTTTGAAGACTTATTTGAATGAGACGGTGAAGCTGCCAGCGGGGTTAAGAGTGCCTCATCCACCCGCTCCGGGTTATGAGTATTGTTGCTCGTAGTGCCATATTTGGCGCTGTTGAAGTTGTTTTTGAAGTTATTATTATTGTTGTTGAGGTTTCCCTCAAGTCCAGGGCTGAAAACATCGTCGTCTGATGTACAGTTGAGGGATGGCTCATAAGGAATTCCGAGATTGGGGTCTTCGATCAAGGGCTCTATTTCGCTCGCTTTCCCCAAGGGGCTGTGGACATCAACAGGACGTCGCCTGTGAGATCGCAGCGAGTCGTCTAGGAGGTTGGGCGTTGATCTCGGGAGCGTCTGAGACGCACCAGCACGTCTGGTGGGTTTTTGGGCGGCCATTATCGTGTAATGGGCGGCAAGGGCACTGGGGGAAGTGGGTGAGAGGGTGCCTACAGGAGGCAAGGGTTCGTAAAGCGCTGCTCGTGACCCCGGTCTCGTGAGGTCCGTGGTCGAGGTGCCGTCAGCTGTGGTACGTGGACCAAGGGTATCGTAGATGGCGTAGCGTGTAGGTGAAGCAGTACTCAACAAAGGGTTGGGTACAATGAGTGGGTTGCCTCGTGGTACGCCACTCCACGAAGGAGCCCTTGGTCTACGTGGCAAAGTGACGTAGCCTGGACGCTGGTGCTGAGGAGTGCTGTACGAAACAGGGGAGCGGCTGAATTCGGGGGCATACTCCGTCCCGTTGTAATCCATGGGATGCGCGTAGCTGAACCTCCAGTCTGGGGCAAGAGTAGGGTAGGCAAGGCTCTGGTACGAAACCTGTGTCGGAGAGATGGTACGTGGTACTCCAACATTGTCAAGAATATCAGGGTACTGAGCGGTAGTGGTGGTTTGTGTCATGTTCGACTGTATAGTGAAAGAAGGGGAAGGCGCCTGAGGAACGTGATATGGCAGGGAAGAGTAGAGCCCCATAATTGCCCCCTCCTCAACTACAGCGGGTAACCGTGATCGATCAACATAGATGGATCGGTTGTTTGTCGAGTAGTTGAGCTCGTCGTCGAAGCTCTTGTCTTGCGAGTGCGTCACGTTGGTCATCTCAATGTCGTTCTGGGGTAGCTTCTCATATTGGCGCATGGGCTTAACGATCGGATTGACGGTGCTAGAGGGCGGCACAATCATAATATTGCCATTGTCAGGACCGTTGCTCTTATCACGAGGCGTGGCTTGTCTTCGTCTGCACAAGCAGCAGCCAATCACTAGTATGATAAGCAATATCAGCAGCACAATTAACACCGCGCCAACCGTAATGAGCACCCACAACTGGGGTCCGGCTGTGACGGCTTCGTCAAGCTGGTCTGCAGAACCCACCACTACCTCAATGGTCCTCTCCACACTCGTGGCGGGGTTAGTGGCAATGCACTTATACGTTGTAGGGTGAGCCGTGCCGTAGATACCCAAGTCGAGAGTTGAGTGCACGCCCGTTGAGTTCTGCAAGGTTATCACCGCGTAGTGGTCGGAGGTCTCACCGATGGTGGTCATGTTTGAAAGAACTTTGCGCTCAGCAACCCACTTCAGGGAAGGGGTGGGGTCACCCTGGGCCCAGCACTCGAGTGTGGCATGAAGGCCCACTGATACCAGCACGATGTCTTTAGAGGTCCTGATGACAGGGTCGCAAGCATAGTCCTCCAGAGGGACGTCTGCCCAATGGATGTTCTGTAGACGGTCCGGGGAGAAGCAATTCCAGTTCGTCTGGAAAATATATTCGTTAGTTAGAAAATCTTCTGTGAACATTAAATAATAACATTAAATAATTAAATTTTCTGTGAATAATATACTGCTGGAGGTAACACATGTACCACAGACTCGCGTTCTAGTGTACGGCACACGAGACTCGCGTTCTATTGTACGACACACGAGACTCGCGTTCAAGTGTACGGCATACGAGACTCGCGTTCTAGTGTACGACACACGCCACACTCGCGTTCTAGTGTGCGGCACACGAGACTCGCGTTCTAGCGTACGACACACGAGACTCGCGTTCTAGCGTACGACACACGAGACTCGCGTTCTAGCGTACGACACACGAGACTCGCGATCTAGCGTACGGCACACGAGACTTGCGTTCTAGCGTACGACACACGAGACTCGCGTTCTAGCGTACGACACACACGAGACTTGCGTTCTAGTGTACGACACACGAGACTCGCGTTCTATTGTACGACACACGAGACTCGCGTTCTAGTGTACGACACACGACACACTCGCGTTCTAGTAAACGGAGCACGACGAATTCACGCACTTGAAGCGTTGGAAACGTATATTAACAGCTGTTTAAACTTTTTATACTGAGAAGCACTTGACAGGCTTACGTTTCTGAAGACGTTGGAGGCTAACATCCAGCGAGCGAACTCCCTCATGCGGCAGTCGCAATGCCAAGCGTTGTTGCCGAGCTCCAACGCCACCAGACGAGGGCTGGACGCAAACAACGCTGCATCAACGCGTTGCAGTTTGTTGCCAGCAAGCCTGTGCGACGTTGAAACATTATAAGAAGTCTGGCCGATATTAAAGGTAAAAGTTTAAGAGTTTCGGTCAGTGGCACACGTCGTCAACCTTGTTTTTAAATTGTAACAGGTCAATGCAAGCAGGATGTATTTTTCATACATGTTACCAATATTGATAAACGTATATATTGTTAAATTAATATTTATCTGCCTCAATTACGTCTGAAACTTCCATGAATTACAATCATTGGCGAAGTTGTTTATCCCTAAGTTGCCCATATCACACTTAAGGGTGGCGTGATGGCAGGGTTGGAGGCAGGCTACTGAGTCATGCACTTACTCAATGGTTGTGATGTTGGGGAGGTTAGCAAAAGCCAGATTATTGATGAAATTGATGTCGTTATTGTTGAGTTTGAGCTTCTGGAGGTGCGGCAGCGAAGGAAACTGTTTGGCCTCCAGACGACTGAGTTCGTTGTTACTCAAGTCAAGCTCCCTCAGTTTCTCCATGTCTGTCGACGAAACATCTTTACTACATGCAGACTGAACATCTCACGTCACTTATACATTAGTTGGTTCAACGATTCTCCCAGGTATTGTAATGACCAGAGAGAACTGTGTTTTTTTTCATATCAGTTCCGCCCATTTTCTCAGCGTTGCATTGCAATTTCAGCGCAAAAATGAACCCATTGTACAGTCAAAGCAGTGCAAGAAAAGATCCAAAACACGCACAAACGTACGAATAAATCCTTTGTTCTTGTATGTAATCTACATCAGTTAGTCACTTATTCACATCTACAAAACTATAGCTTGATCTTCTAGTCACCACTAAAAACTACACACTCCACTTGTGACGGCACACTATATCCAACCTCCCTGATTAAGTACCTATTTAAACCTCACGGCGTTAAGTACTTAAACTTAGCCTCGTTTGTTTCCATGATAGTGAAATCGTCAGAAGCCTCTCATTCGTCACCATCCTAAATAAAAAGCTGGTTAGGTGGATCAACATCGCTTCAGTAATTCCTTGTACGAAAAAATGAGGAGAGTCGGGAGATGAACTCACTAGAAAAAGTGGATAAATGGAGCTTATCCACCCTGTTGTGGTCCAGGTTGAGGTGCGTCAGGATGTGGAGGCCGAAGAAAGCGTCTTTGTCCACATACGAGATTTGGTTCGATGACACGTCTAACTTCTGCAGGTTGACAAGTCCAACCTGCAGGATAAGGGTGGTACAGGGGGGCGCAATGAAGGAGTTGATAGGATTGAAGAGGTGGCAGGTGGTAGGGAAGGGGGAAGTGGTAGCACCAGCAAACAAAAAACACGTAATGATTTGTATGTTGAACGGACGATAGAAATACAGCACAAAAATACTCTTCTAACACACTGCACGAGACGTGGAAAAAACGGAACTCACACTGCCGAGTTCACCCCAGGCTGCCGTGCATCGCTTATAGTGCGCTTATAGCGTGCAGCTTACAGGCATCATCACATTATCACGGTACTTCATCATCACGGTACCACAATGTCACAAAAACTAGTTTTACAACCACCACCAGCATCAAGCAACACCACCACCGGCAAACAACAAATACCAGCATCAAACCACCACCACCAGCATCAAACAAGCAACACCAGCAGCATCAAGCAATAACACCAGCAGCATCAAGCAACAACACCAGCAGCATCAAGCAACAACACCAGCAGCATCAAGCAACAACAAGTCGAGTAGCCGCTCGCCTCGCACTTGGCCACCTGCGGGGCAGCGGGGAGGACAGGCTTATGAACATTGTGATTATAAGTGATTGATTGAAATTCGAATTAGTGGTCATTGATTCGTATTAGTGGTCATTAATTCGTATTAGTGGTCAATTAGTGGTCATTGATTCGTATTAGTGGTCAATTAGTGGTCATTAATTCGTATTAGTGGTCAATTGAGAACCGCAGTACTAAGAGGTTTTCGAACTCCAATAAAAGATGTAAGAACAGTGGTATGGACGAATGTGCGAACATTTTTTTATAGAATGGCTTCTTATTGCATTATTGAGGTAACATAGTAATATTGTGGTTGTTAACAGTTTCCAGAGTTCTCCCGAACTCTGATCTAGAATTATTCATACTTGAAACGATAAGGAAATTCATTCATCGTGAGGTGAAGGCCGCACGCAGCCCTTAAATATATGGCCAAAAAGGCTTCGGCCACGTATAGAAAAATGAACTAATCATTATTTAAAAAATGACAGACATTCTTGCCCACAGCACAAGCAGACAGCAAAGATAGTACAGAGACAACATTTTTTTTTGCACGACAAAATTTGGTCAGAAAGATCCACACAAGCGGAAAAAGTGCATAGCAATTTGGAAAAAATGTCCCTCTCATTTATACGGCAAACTTGCAGCGCACTGCAGAGACTAGAACTTTTTCAGTAATGCGATGGCGTTCGCAAGAAGCACTACAGAAATGTTCAATACTTTTATCGGCAGACGGAGAAAGCAACGTTCATCTCCAGCAATCGTCGCGTTTCAGTTATTTTCAGTCAAGAATATACAAGTACTCATAGCAATAGTTTCATGTGCAGATTATGAAAACATTATTTGGAATGGATTATTAACTGAGCTCACAAAGCATTTCTAAAGATTACTTATATTTGGAATTATGCTTCAAGTATTTTATAAATAATTAGAGTACAATGAGATTAGAAAGTATTTCATAAGTTTCCCAGTGGGACTTACTTTCCTGTTAGAGACGTAAGTGCACTGGCAGGACTGAGGACACGAGGCGGTCCAGTCCCCCAGTGCGGGGACGATCACCCCCACCACCATCACCGCCATCACCCACCACCTATGCATCCTCCTGCGGGGGAAATATATATTACATTCAAGTTCAGATTACTACAATTGACACATAATTCTGAATGATCAACGTCTCTTTCTTCGCGCATTTCATTCGCTATAAGCATTAATTAAATACAATTTTTCCATTGGAGAAAATTATGTTGAAGTTGATTATATAAGCTTTAGCTGCGAGTAATTCGCACTACTGACATACAGACAGCTTTTGTACTATTACGTATATCAACATGAATGAGGTACGGTATGATAAAATGGTTACAGAAAGATGGTAGCAGCGAGTGTAATGCTTGAGTGAGCTTTCCGACCAAGAAGCGGTAGTAAAAAATCCGGAAGGCGGTGTGTTGGCTACAGAAAACGCTGACATGTGCACAAGCGGGTTCCTCTCACAGGATGTGTGTGGCAGGAGCATGGGAATACCACGCCTCGGGGTCGCGTGAGTGACCCAAGCGTCCACAATGATGGGAAGTCATTCAATTTCAAACTCAACTCAGCCACTCTATTTCAACTACCATATAAAGAGTGGCCTTAGCGGAACTCTTGCCGAGGTCCCTTTTAAAGCACTTCGATAACCTCACGGAACTCTGTTTAAAAGTTTTAATTCAAGCGTTTTCGCAGGAATATTGCTACACACCTATTCTCGTTCACGTGTGTTCTCTGGGAACTTGCTTTTAATCCATTCTCATACGTAGAGTTTATGTCGCTTAATCACATGTTCGATAATTTTTATGCAACAACTTCAATCTGGTGTCCATGTTTTCACGGGATACCGTACTGTGAAATATACTGTCACAATTAACTGCACCTCGCGACAACGAGTTAGTTAGTTAGTTTAATTGGCCAAATATTTACTAGCGCTTCAGCTATTAAGCCATCTCGCTGCGGAAGTCAAGATAACCAATCACCAAGCAGGTGGAAGGTCTCAATTATTGAAAGTTCCTTAAAACACATAATCTTTCATCACTCATAAGGGGAGGAAGGCCTCAAGTATCCAACTCGCTGATGCCTACCCGTGACTGCTGTTACTACAACACCCTTGACAATAAACACACCCGTGACTGCTGTTACTACTACACTCCGTGACAATAAATACACCCGTGACTGCTGTCACTACTGCACTCCGAGACAATAAACACACCCGTGACTGCTGTCACTACTGCACCCCGTGACAATAAACACACCCGTGACTGCTGTCACTGCTGCACCCCGTGACAATAAACACACCCGTGACTGCTGTCACTACAGCACCCCGTGACAATAAACCCACCCGTGACTGCTGTCACTACAGCACCCCGTGACAATAAACCCACCCGTGAAGGGGGCCTGGAGAAATAATAAGTCAAGTGTTAATAATGCTTAAGTAAATTAATGCCGTGGATATGAAACTTCATGATAACTATAACGAACAGAAGGTAATGAATTGAAATGAAAATAGGCACAGAGGGAAGGTAATTTAGGGCGAAAGCTATGAATAGGGAAAGTAATGCAGAGGGAAAAGCAATACAAAAATGAGGCTGTACAGAGGAAAAACTATGTTTACAGAGCAGATCAAAATAGAATAGAAGAAATAGAAACAGTGGGAGTGCATAGAGCATAGAGGCCATATAGAAGTTTAGCAAAGAAAGAATGCGATTAATAAGAAAGCAATACGTAGAAGCAACATAGAAGATAAGTAGGAGAAGCAATACAGAAGATAAGTAAGAGAAGCAAGACAGAAGATAAGTAGGAGAAGCAATACAGAAGATAAGTAGAAGAAGCAATACAGAAGATAAGTAGGAGAGAAGCAATACATAAGATAAGTAAGAGAAGCAATACAGAAGATAAGTAAGAGAGAAGCAATACAGAAGATGAGTAAGGCAACCCCTCACCTATCTTACAGAAGGTAAGTACCGTTCGACAGAAGTAATACAGAAGATGAGTAAGACAGATGCAATACAGAAGAAAGTAAGAGAAGCAAGACAGACAGGAAGCAACAGAGGGGAGACCGTACCAAGGCAAAGAGGGCACACAATACCGCTGTTCATTGGGGGTCTTCGGTATATTCGGGGAAATCTGTGAGTCATGATGACTCACTTTGGCTTCTGCTATAAGCCACAAACCGGAAGCTTTCTTGACTTACTCGTACTCACTGAGTGAATTTTTTTAGGCACACCTGAACCATTATAGGAATTATCCATGGACTAACATGAGTCATAGAGTGAATGAGGAAAACGCAGAATAGTGCATCGGGTTTTGGACAGGTTGAAGTATATCTACCCTCAATTAATTTAAAATCTTTGTTAATCATCCAAATAAATACTTCAGGTTAAGTTACAGCACCTGATGACAATTCATGTTTAATCTGGCATAGAGAATTTTAAACGCTGTCATGGTTTAAAATTTGTTTTGTTATCGTGCCCTCGTATAGATACAAAACAAACATAAAAATGGATGGCTCAGATTTTCCAAATAGTGATACATAGTCCTACCCACAGCGTAAGCTGAAATAATATATATAAGTGAGAATGAAATAATTGGGGAAGTTCTCACTTATTACACTGAGAGAAGGTTCGGTGGCAGCGTGGTTCAAGTATTTTAGGAACATTGCTGGCATGGAGGATGACTTTTTGAGAAATAGATAAACGAAACGCTGAAATTTAAATTAAATATGAATGCAGTTAGCGACATAGTAGCAATACACAATTTTTTGCTGCAATTTAGAGTGTTGCAGCGAGTGATACAGCAAGGATAAAACTTGTAGGTTCTTCTCATAGAAGAGTATATGACACCAAGAAATCACAACTCACACTGCCAGAATTACCGGCCTTAAAATGCTCGACGCAATCGTGTCAATACAGACTCAGAGGTCAATACAATGCAGACATCGTGTTTGCATACAATACGATGTATTGACAATACAGACATCAGACATACAATACAGACATCGTGTCAATACGCGGTCAACAAAAACCTAAGGTCCGCCCAGACATTGCTTCGTCCTTACCCTTCATTCTACTACCGGTATTTTCCCTTTCATTCACATCTTCCTCATCCAAGACCTTCCTTCGCTCTGTCGGTTCCGTCACTTTCCAGGATTTTTTCCGCCCATTCTCTGTAACGCCGCCAAGTTTGATGACGCTCGACCCCATGTTTTCTCCAAGGGGGATAAAAAAATAGACAAACCCCCCCGCCGCCGTTCTTACTCCTTATCCTGCCTTTTCGCCTCACCATTCCGACCCTCATTTGAACCTCTTGTGAATAACGCATGTTAAATGAGACATGACGCCTGTTCCCTCACATGACGCCTGTTCCCTCACATGACGCCTGTTCCCTCACATGACGCCTGTTCCCTCACATGACGCCTGTTCCCTCACATGACGCC